GGGGGGGTAAGACAACTATTAGTAGTCAAAGATGAGTGCTCTGTGTGCTCCTACGGAGAGCAAATTTTACATCTATTTAGGAGCAAATGCTGTTGAAAACGGAATTGGATGAGTGCCTTTTGTGATCTTATCACACTTTCAAGAAACTACTTGACAGATGAGCAGATTTTAGTGGCTGTATGTCAATTATTTTTCGAGAAAGGAAATTGATTTTCTCCTGATAACATACAGCTTTTACTGGCTGATTGTATTTCGTGATGATGATGATTAGAAAATTTATTAGATATTAGTATGTTATAGAATGATTCTGTTTTTATTTGGAACACCTTTTGTTTCTTTTTGAATATAGACCATTACCTTTTTATCTTTTTCTCCTCGTGCTTAATTTTGACATGTTTTAGTTACTAATGATCTCTGCAGACCACATATGAGAACTTTCGTTACAGGGGAGATAACAGGAACAGTGTGTATAACCGGGGATGCATCAACAATTTTCTTGAGGTATTCTGCTCAAAGATAGAACCTTCAAAAATCAATTTCCGTGGATATGTACAGGACGAGGCATCAAAGCCTCCTAAGAGTAACATTCATGAAACAGAAATAGATATCTCTGATGGGGATACACGAATTAGGGTGGAAGACGATCTTGATATTGGAGATGATATCATGAAGATATCCCAACGACGTAACTCTGAGGAAGGTGGTGATGTTAGAGGTAGAGGAAGTGACAGGTCGCCCATTGGTCGTTCTGAGGTTGACTTTGGATTTGGTTTGGAGTCTCATTTTACCTCTAGACCCTCATACTAGCCGGGGCAGTTCAAGTGAAAACGAAACTAAATTCAATATCACCAATTTTTTCAACGATTCCTACTTCCTTCTGCTGGCATTATTTGGAGCACTCAGAAGGACGTTCAACTGATCATTTATTGAGATCTAAAAATGTAACACGATACTTATCGCTAGCCATGAACGTGCACTGGTGTTCTCTTTCTCAGGTTTCTCTCCTCTCCCTGTTCTCGTGAAGATATGATGAAATGACATCTTTGTTGGAGAGAATGGATGATCGTTTTTACTATCGTCTGCTGGTTATAAGCGATTCTTGGAAAAACTATAGCTATATATCAAAGGCTGGTTAAATTCTGTACTATGTATCTATCTCCTCTGGAATTTGACAATGTGTACATCTTTTCTTGTGGTTTAAGGTGCTTTTCTGAAAATTAAGTTAATGGATTTTCTGTCTTTGTATTTTAACACAAGAGCAGCAGCTGAGTTCGTCTATCAAGGTGGATATGGATTGTTTTTCTGTAAGTGAGACTTGTTCAGCCTTCACCCATGGATAGGAAAAGTGGAAAACTGATATTTGAACAAATAGTCTTGTTTTATGTTTATAAATTAACATGCATTTAATTTCATTGCATTAACATCTAAGCATTTTAGTCTGGGCAAGCACATGGAACAAAATGCATCATATCTCATACGTTTAGAACATCCTCATATATTAGGTTAAAAACGGTTTGACCTTTCAAATAAAGATAGATAAATGAATAAACCATAAGCAGATCTAAGATATTGGACATGAATATGACTTTGTCCCTAAAAAATATATTAGAAAAATTGGGAGCGTTCTTTTCAAAATTCAATTCAATAAAATCTCATCTTAAATCAACAATTGAAAAAGAGTTACAAATTTGAAATTCATTAATAACTTTGCATCTCAAAAAGTTAAAAAAAATAAATTTTCAAATAAATATATTTGAAATTTTATAAAACTTTAAGTTACTATTAATTTAGCGGCATCTCGTCATTTTGGAGGGAAAAAAAACGAAATAAACATTTGTAGCACTATCAAGAGGTAACATGTATGGATGTATATAGGTGGAGTTGGTTTTGAATTTTTCAATTACCAAACCAATGGTGTCGAGTTTTATAATCTATAAAGCAAGCCAAACCAACAAAATCGGGTTTTTCGATTTTTCGGGCTTTTTCTCAGGTGAAGTCTTTTTTTTCTTGGTAATAACTGTGAAATATTACCATTAACAACCAAACAATTACACTTACACCTATACATCATGTCCATCTTCCGGAAAGAGTAACATGATTAAATAGGCCTCCAACAAAACCAGCAACTAGTTACATAATTTGTGAATAAAAAATCTGCAATTTGGGTAAAGTCTTCATAACACAAAATATGTAATTTGTGCCCCAAATATATTACGACCCGGCCAGTCTTCTCATGAGTTACCATTCGTTTTTCCCATTTCTGCTTCTTATTGCTTTGTCTATTGGTTCTATGAGTGATCGGGTTGGTTGGCTCGGGTTCGGAAAGGTTTTGAGAAGGTTTGAGACACTTAGTCTCTTTTGAGGAAATTTAAGTTGGAAAAGTCAACCGGATGTTGACTTATGTGTTAGAGGGCTCAAATGTGAGTTCCGATGGTTCGGATAGCTTCGAGAGGTAATTTTGGACTTAGGAGCGTGGTCGGAATGTGTTTTGGAGGTCCGGTATAGATTTAGGCTTAAATTGGCGAAATTGAATTTTGGCGTTTTCCGGTTGATATGTGAGATTTTGATATAGGGGTCGGAATGGAATTCTGAGAGTTGCAGTAGTTCCATTATGTCATTTGGGATGTATGTGCAAAATTTCAGGTCATTCGGACGTGGTTTGGTGGAGTTTTTTATCAAAAGCGGAATTCAGAAGATTTTTGGAAACTTAGGCTTGAATCCGATGTGTTTTGGTTGATTCGATGTTGTTTGAGGTGTTTTGAAGATTGGTATAAGTTTGAATAAGGTTATGGGGTATGTTCGTGTTTTTGGTTGAGGTTCCGAGGGCCTCGGGGTGATTTCGGATGGTTGACGGAGAGTTTGGAATTTTTGGTAAAGCTGCAGATTTTCTGCTTCTGGTGTTTCCGCACCTGCGGTTCGGGGACCGTAGGTGCGATGCCACAGATGCGATGAAAAGGGTCGCAGAAGCGAAAAGGGCCTAGGAAGGTTGGGGCCGCAGAAGCGGCTGAGGAGCCGCATTTGCGATAGCACAGGTGCGGGAAAAGGATCGTAGAAGCGGAAAGTGGTCGTTTAAGTGATGACCGCAGAAGCGGTCTAGTGACCGCAAAAGCGGGTATTTGGCCGCAGATGCGAAATCACTGGGCCAAAAAGTATATATTGTTTCCTTCGCGATTTTTGAGTTATTCCACCATTTCTAAGTCGGCTTTGGAGCTCTTTGGACGATTTTGAAGAAGGATTTACAGGGAACTTCGTTGAGGTAAGGATTTTGGACCTCAAACTCGTTCCTATGGTATTATTTCACGGATTAGAGCTATAATTAGTAGAATTAAAGGTTAAAATTGGGATAATTAGGGCTTGGTATTGGAGACCTAGACTGGATTTGAGGGACCATTTGTGGTCGAATTTTGGTACTTTTGATATGTATGAACTCATGGGGAGATGAGGAATCTATGGATGTGAATTTTATTGAATTTCGAGACATGGGCACAGGGGTCGGGTTTTGGTAATTTCGGAATTTAAGTTGTAAATTAATTATTTTCGCTTGGGCTTCGTTCCCTAGCATATTTTGACGTCGTGATTCTGATTTTGGATAGATTCGACGTGGGTGGAGGCCGATTCGAGGGGCAAAGGCGTCGTGGACTAGAGTTTGGACCGGATTGAGGTGAGTAATGATTGTAAATGATGTTCTGAGGGTATGAAATACCGGATTGCACATCGTTGTGCTATATTGAGGTGACACACATGCTAGATGACGAGCATGGGGTCCTGCACTGTTGGGGATTGTGATTTAGTCCGTCCTAAATGACTATTTTACCACGTATTTGACTGAAAACTATTTGCTATCATCATGTTTTGGGTTGAACGCCATATTTGGGCTTCGTGCCAACTATTTGAACCCTTAGGGGATTTTTATTGACACTTCCTCACTGTTTTGATTTTGTACTTGAACTCAGTCATGCTATATTCTACTGTTTTCAAAACTTAGCCATGTTTACTCTACTTTAACACTTAAAATGACATTGCAAATGATATTTTGGGCTGAGCATCATGTTTTACTGTTGCCCGAGTGGCTTTTGAAATTCTGACTGAGTAAGGCCGAGGACCTATGTTGTGAGGAACACCTAATTATTATTATGAGGCCGAGGGCCTGAAATTTGTACTCCACGAGGTGGCTTGTTGATATGAGGCCGAGAGCCTAGTGATGATGCCACGATATGGCTTGATATTGCGCTTGGGCCGTAAGGGGCCCCTCCAGGAGTCTGCACACCCCCAGTGAGCGCGGGTACCCAGTGTCATGTGAGAGATAGCCCGAGGGGATGGTGTTGTTCTATGATCTTGCCCGAGGGCCGGTCCTTTATGTGTTTATCTTTCCTATTTGCCTGTCATTTGCTTGTTTAACTGTTAAAAAGGCATTTTATGAAGTTTTAAACTGAACTCAGTAATTTTACACATCTTTACTGCTTCCTTATAACCTATAATGTGCCTTACGTGATTTCTTGCTTTCAGTCTTTATTTATGATTATTACTCACTGAGTTGGAGTACTCACTCTTCTCCCTGCACTCCGTGTGCAGATTCAGGCGTTGCTGATCCTGCTAGCGAGAGTTGAGAGCTCCCGACAGATTTCAGAGTTCACGAGGTAGCTGTTTGGCGTCCACAGTCCCGTGTCCCCCCCCCCCC